ACCTTCTGCATAATTTTGTCAAAGGTAGCAAATATGCATTATTCAACAGTAATTTAAATTATATTGAAATTAATATTTATTTAGTTAGCAAATTTCTTAACTTGTACCTGAAAGAAATTAGTAACCTCTAAGTTGTCTGTACATTTGTTATTTTTACAGATCTGTCCCATTTGCCAGATTTCTTTCCCAAATGATGTCTTGCCTTATCATGCAAGCATGTGTGGTGAAGGGTAAAGTTATGCTACAATAGAATGACATTTGTTAGACCCTTACTTAATACCTTAAAGAATTAGTCCACCCAAAGTTGATATTTCTCTTTTAAGTTACTGACCTTCTTTCCATCTCAGCTGTTGGTAAATTTTGTTCACAGAGAAAAATGAAGACCGGAACCAAACTTTCTAGCAGTCACATTTATAAAGCAAACTATTAACTACTTGTCACTCAAAGTCTTCTGAAGAGAAATGCCATTTGTTTGTGAGAAACAAATCTATAACTAAAATATTTTTAACTATAAATAAAATGTGTTTCTGTGCAAAGAGGTGAACGATCCATATTGTTAAAGACATTGTTTGTTAAAGATATGAACAACAGAGCAGAAGATAAACAACAAAGGTCAACAACAGCTGAGGTGGAATGTAGGTGAAGAAGATTTAATATATAATGTTTGGGTGAACTAATCTTTTATTTAATCCCAAAACAGACATCTTTAGCTATAAAGACTTGTATTTTCCATGTATAATGGATGCTTCTTTTTCTTCATTTAATGTGCAAGAGTTTCTGAACTGGTTGGATAAACAAAATTAAAAAGTTGTATGTGCCATGCCTATTTTAGAGGGAAGATTTTCAGTGGCAGTGATTCTCCAAACACTTCAACAAGAGAAGAACTGCCAGGACCCTCAACAAGAGAAGAACTGCCAGGACCCTCAACAAGAGAAGAACTGCCAGGACCCTCAACAAGAGAAGAACTGCCAGGACCCTCAACAAGAGAAGAACTGCCAGGACCCTCAACTGCACAGTCATCTACATCACTATCAGCAGGTTATGCCCCACACATATTCTGCTTGGTTATCGCTGTCGTACTGCTATGAAACAAGTGCATCTATATGTAAAAATATAAACTCTAGTTGTGGCTTTGTTTTTAGCCCTAGATTTGTTGTACAACTATATTTGTAAAATCTTTTTTGCATAACTTGTGAATTTCTTTTTCAGCATGGAAATATGAAATTGACCATCAGAAAGCATCTCGAATGTTCTGTGCAGAATTGCTTTCCCAAAGTTCGGACTGTCCATCTATGTCACTACAGATTAACCAATTTGATACTTTGGATGAGCAGGACAGTACACTGATTTCATTTTATAAAATGAACAGTGTAAACTGGTCAGCACCATTGAAATGTAGATTGACAGGTATTACTGGAACATTGAAGTAACCATTGTTTGTACAATTTGTAAAATTTACTTGAGATTGCTATTTTTTTCTTTTAAATTGATTTCTTTTTAGGAGATGCAGCTGTTGGCAAAGGAGTCAATCGTCACATCTTTTCAATGATTATGCAAAAACTGAAGACTGGCTTCTCTTTAAATTTGGGTATGTAATCCAGTTGCAATTCTATTCAATGGACACAAACATATAGTCAAAAGTTTGGAAACATTACAAAGAAGCATTTATTTAATCCAAAATACAGTTAAAACATGGTAATTGTGAAATATCATTACAATTTTGATTAATTGATTTTGTTTAAAAGCGTTTCAGTGTGAGAAGAGTGCCGTTTGGGCCACACCTTCACAGACAGATTTTTTTTGTATCAAGAAGCTACAATGATAATGCAGCGATGAATGGATTTTAGATAATCTTTTAATGGTGTCATCGAGTAACAACTGTTACCTCCCATGTTACTTAAATTCTTGATTTTGATGCACATCGGAGGGAAAAAAGACCCCATAAAAGCAACTGAAACTGCTCATTATCTTACTCAGATTGAGTCAGTCCAGTGGTGGAAAATAGCATTTATGTGTGTGCGTATATTCAATTTGGTTCAGTAAAAATGTGCCTAATGCAGAGACTGTTATGGCTTTACTAGTGAATGTTATGGCTTTAGAACTAGTAAAGATGATTCATGCTAAGGTTCATGTCTTTCTTAAGGTTCTACTTCCACAACCCTTTTTGAGGGGGAAAAAAACCACCGTGTCCCCTCTGCATCTGCTGTGCTACGTGACAGCAACCTTTTCCAAATGGCTGGCCGAATGATAGGTCATTCTTTTGTCCATGGAGGTCCTTGTCTTTCTGGACTGAGCTTACCATTGGTAATCCTACTAACTGGAGGTAGTTTAGACAGTGCGGCTTCAGCTCTAGAGCTGCAGGATTGCCCTGATTTAGACCACCGGGAAACCATTAGTTTGGTGAGTACTTGCACTTTATTAAATATTTGTTATTTTTGTAAAAGCTGTCACTGAATCATTTGAAAGCATTTTCAATTTGTGGTGTTCTTGCAGCTCAAGAAAACGGAACTCACTGAACAAGAAAGTACAAGATTAACTGATCTTTGCCTGTTCTGGGATCTCCCTGTTCCGTCATCTTCTAATCGAGACTGGCTGTTTCAACAGCTGTTGTCACATGCCGTAAGTCTTGCTATTTTGTTTTAAAATTATACTGTGGCAGGAGTTATTATAGTTACTATATTTTATATATATATATATATACTGTATATATACTGTATATATATATATATAAGCAGCATGCTGAAAATAAACTTTTTATGTTTTAGTACAATACCTAGGTAGGTACTAAAACATTCTAGTAACACCCTAGCAACCACTTAGAATATAAGCAATGGCCTAGTAACTCCCTTGCAATACCATAAAACCTATCCGTCTATGTACCTTTCTTTTTGCTTTGATCACAGGAATAAAGGACACTTTACTATATTCACATAGAAAACAGCCGTTTTATATTGTTGTAATATTTCACATTATTACTTTGTTTGTGTTATATATATATTTTTAAAATCAAATAAATGCAGCCTTGGTGATCAGAAGAGACTTAAAAATCTTAATGATCCAAAACTTTTGACAGGTAGTGTGTGTGTGTGTGTGTATGTGTATATCTCAATCTACTAAATGAATTATGTTGCCTAAGCTCACTGTTTATGGAAAAAAAAAAGTTTTATGAAATGGAAATCAATTATCCTTTATTACGCTGTTTCAAAATTAAACTGTCTTTGTACATTTTGTTTTCAGGTACTTGGACGTGTTAAAAGCCAGGTTAAAGATCTCAGGAAAGGTCTCAAAGAGACTGGTATCTGGCCACTACTATCCCAAAGACTTGACAGTCACCAAGTAGTTTTCCCAAGGGAGTCAGAAATGGACATTACAGCACAAGTTAGTATGCTTGTATTTGGAAAAGCACTAAAGGAAAAATCTTATGTATAATAGGTTATATCAATATAAATTAAACAATATAATGTCAGTGTAGAGCAGTCACTGGAATGATAAACGTACACAATTAAAGGGATCATGAATTACTAATTAAAATGCGCATTTATCTTTTGACATATAGGAGGTTGTTATAGTATACAAATATTTTAAGTAATTTGAGTTCAAAACTTCAGCCTAATCTTATTAAATCCCTGCTACTATTCGTTGCCTACTTTCATGGATTTGTGACAAATGTGATCAACTCTTGGTCATATTAGTACAAGAATGAATCCACAGCGATTATCAAATAGTCACATCTGAGACCCACTCACTTTGTATTGAATACAAGTTATGTGAAGATGCGAGCTAATCAGAACACATACGCCATACTGTTTCAAAACGAGGTAGAAAACCAGAATAAAAAATGTCCATGTATTTCTACTTTCTACGGTTTAGGAAAATATAGATTTTTTTTACTAACATTTATAAAATGTTAAAAAATTATAATTCATGACCCCGTTAACATACATTTTCAAACCCTCATAGACAGTCCTTCAGAAAATTGCATGGCCCAAGCCTGTGGATGATGAAGAGGACAATGATGACTGCATTGCTGTTGAAATAATGAGCGTCATCACAAGCTACATGCGACGATTTATTGAAGAAGGTATGTATGTTACTTGACTTTCTGTGCGATTTAATACCATTTACATAAAGCAGTTAAATGTGTGATATCTTTTAATGACTCTTTCATAGCATCACCAAACATGCTGAGTGACCTAATGAAGTTCTGGGTGGGATGGGAGGTGCCAGAAGAGAACCTGGTTTTAGAAGTGGTGACTGCCAAATTCCCTGTTGCTCAGACGTGTTTCAATATGTTGCGCCTTCCCTGTCACTATCAGAGCTACACCACATTCAAAATGGATATGGTAATGTGCCTACAATCTGTTAATAGTGGATTTGGTCTCATTTAACTAGAAGAGATAACGGGGCAGTGTGTTTAGTAATGTTCTTAAATTGCAAAAAGGATTTAGCCTAAGTTAAGAGTAAAAAAGACTAAAGGGCTAAAGTGTTAACTTTTACAATGTTTTAAACGTTTAATCAAATTTATTTTCAAGTTGGAATACTCTTAAATGTCTTTTAACACAGTTAAAACCTGTTTGTTAGTAAAAACTGTGTTAGAAAGCAATATCAAATGTCAAAGGAATAGTTCACTCAAATGTAATCTTTAGGATTGATTTTTTTAGATTAACCTTAAACAATTTTTCATGCTGCATAATGTTTGGCCTAAGTGCAATAAAGTCTGTACATATAGGTTGATAGATATACATTAAATAAATAAAGTGACCCCATTTAGATTCCAACTGACTTTAAATTGTGAGGATAAGATTTGTTTTTGGGTGAACTTTTCTTTTGGCATAAAATTTGCATTAAGGTTGAAAACTTGAGTAATACCTGTTGGTATATACACACCACATGTACATGTCAAAAAAATAAATAAAAGGATACCAATTGTTGGAAACATGTTTGGCACCTGTTGGTAAACTCTAGTAGGTGTATACAAATAATGTGTTTTTTTTTACCAATAAATATTGTACAGTGGGTAAATATGAAAAATGAAAGCTCCACACCTACAGATTAAGCAGGGTGTACAACAAGGCAAGAAAGCATAAATGGAATTTGGCAGGGACTAACTTTCAGTTAATCTCTCAACATACTGGACAGTGCTAAGATAGAGGTCTACTCCATAAGACTCAGAGTGTTGCATGGGGTTGATGGTTTCTGTAAGTTGTGACATTTCATCGTCTGTCAATGAAATGTCAAGCACAGGAACATGCACCCCAAGGTTTGGGTCCTCCAAGTATCCGCTCTCCTCCCATTCAATGTTGGGTATGGCTACGTTCTGAAGAAAACAAATTTCATAGATAATTGTACTTTTTGTTTAAACTTTTACACATTTAATATTTGCCTCCATTTTACGTGGATGCCAAATTTACCTCTGGATCCATAATTGGGTTTTGGAACTGGCCCACTTGCCACAACTGAATGGGTGTTAGATTGTGTTCTGTTCTTATGGGATGGTTGTCCCACCCCTCAGAAAAGACATCCAAGCTGGCCTGGATGCGTGGCAGGAACACATAATGACAGCTGAATAAATGGCAGGAGTTGCTGATATCCAGCAAGTGACTGTCCTCCAATGTGTGCAGAATGTTATGGTAGATGCTTGTTACCCCTACGAATACATCACGCCAGAGACGCTCTATTCTGTATAAAAAGAAAGAAAGATAGTAATAAGCCTAGTACAACCAGCATTGAAAACAACATAAAACAGTAACACTTGCAAATGATGGTGAACCCATATAGTAGGGGGGAATTGTGAGAATAGTATGTCCGAATTCAGGTTCAGATTCAGGTTAAAAGCACCCAGATTACCTACTATTTCTGCTGAGGTGTGCATTTGATGAACACTTCATTATCCCATGAGGCCATGGGAGAAGATTTTTGAATGGGCAGTAAAGCAATGCCACTGACGCCTTAGCACACTAAATGTGGTATGTTCAAATTCCATTTATACTACACAAATTTGTACATTATATCACATTTTTAATGGTCAAAATGTACTGAAATAAAGCACATTATCTGAATGCACCTTTAATGCTGTCAGACCACCAACATAAAAGTGAATTTACCTCTGATTATGCACACTTTTACCGGCGATGAAGCTGTTGTCATCAGTGCCACGAACTGAAAACATTAGTTCTGCTATTCCCACATTTTCACCGCCATGATCTCCTCTCACTCTGCAACAAAAACACACACATTTTGATGGGTTTCAATTATACACAATTAACTTAACTTCAGCAGATTATCCAGAAAAGTACAAAAGTATATGATAAAATAATAGAAAAAAAAAAAAAACCCGTTTTGCAACTTAATATTAATTAATACCTCTGTGGAAACCCATGTGTATTCACTGCCTCTCTGAAAAAGGCCAAATGGGTGTCTGAGCGGTTGTTGTCTGAAATCTTCAGGTACATAATCTGTAGAATATATTTAAACATATACAGCTGAAGATATACAGTAGTAGAGAAATATTTTTCTGTACCAACAGATGACAGTACACAGCTGCAAGCAATGATTTTTGGGGTTCAAGCTCTTTAAGACCTTTATTGCTTCTATTCTGTTTTGGTCTAAGCCAACCCGAGATTTATGGCTGACACCAGAACACATCCATGATGGAGAATTCACAAACACACAGAAATTAAAGGGTTAAACTATAATACTTAACACACACACACACAGGGTGCTTCTCAATTCTTATTTGTGCATCCTCGTTTCCTTTCCTCAAATCTCAGCTCCACCCCTGTAGGATGCGAGGGAAGGCTGCAAGGAAAGAAAATGAGGACGGAGGAATTGAATGAAAGCTTATAGGATGGGTCATAGGATGGAGGAGCGAGAAGACGAGGAGGGATATTGAGTTTATTGTATATATATATATATATTTGAAATAAATGATAGATAGCAAAATGCTTATCTGAACTGTTCTTTATAATACCATTTTTAGTTTTAACATTATTCATAACATGGAATAATTATAAAAAAAATATACCTCAGTACAAATGAAGTGGTAATGTGCAATAATCTATCTGTGTGCCAAATTTCACAAACTTTTCACCATACGGTTCTATGGGCTGCAATAGAGTCAAGATTAGAAGAGAAGAAAAACACTTACAGGCTTAACACCTTTGGTGCATGGCTCTTACTACTACTAATAATAATAATAATTATATAATCCTTACAATCACAATAGCGTTTCAGTGCCTTTACCTTTAGGAATTTTTAAGGCCAGACAAATTACAAAAGTAATTTGGTGATGTCAATTTGTAAAGAAAGACTACACGCCTGTGCACATATATACTCAAAAGTGTACACCTATAGACTAAACGCATAATATTCATGTGCACGTTGTCAGCGCTTTCACAGATTCACATTTTTTGAAGTTTATACTGAGATAATAAAAATTTTCAAAATTTTCCACTGCTTGTACCTTGGAACCTATTTCAAGGTTTGCGTTCTCGAGCACCAAACACATCGCATTGAGTGTCTTCTGTTAGAAAAGTGTCATGTAAGCGGCCCCTTAGTTAATAACTAATGATCTTATTCTTTGCAATGGAAGTGAATCAATCAAAACTAACTTTAGCTGGACAATAACTTTATTCTAGAGCTGCTGTAAAGCCTAAACAATCTCTGTTACTGTAATCTCCTGTTATCACTGTAAAGCTGCTGTGAAACATCTGTATAGTTAAAAGTGCTGTATAAACGAAAGTGACTAGACTTGACTATGTGCTTGAACCATTAACAAACATTTAAACAAGTCTTACCTTTCTTGAATAACCATCTATTCCACCGAAGATTACCATGTTGTACCTGATAAAAATTAAAAACACATGGCCTGTGGTTATAAGTGTCAAGTTTTCACTATAATTTCATACAGGCCAAGTCAGATGACAAAACAATTTATGGTTGAGAAACAGGAAATTAAAAATCTGAGCATTAATGATGACTATTTAGTTGTGTTATTTTAGAAATGTTAATTAATACCAAGCTTGCAGACATACCTGATGAGTTTATGGTTGGTGTCTATGTGCACCAGGTACTTGGGGTAAGGAACACTATATCGTCTCCGAGCAATACATCTCAAGTTGGTCATCCTGGAGAGAACACCAACACTGTCCACACGATGCATGGATGCACACACCCTATCCCACTGTACACGGTGCCCCTGTGCCAGTAGAGCCCCTCGAACCATACGATATCCTGCGTCTGGCATGGAGGTCTTAATCTCTGTGACAAGGGCATCAAGTTCTTCATCTGTACACGTGCTGTACAAAGCTCTCACAGATAAGTTGTTTTCATTCATCCTCCTGAACAGTGTTGCACGAGACACACCAAGTAAATTTGCAATAGACTGGGTTGGAAGCCCTAGTTCTATTAGATGGGTAAGGTTGATCGTAGAAATTGAAATTCTTGGACGTCCACGTCCCTGTCCTGGTTCCAGCTCCATTGTTACAGATACCTGCTCCAAAGCCTCCATATCCCTCAGACGCTGTATAAGGTTGCTCAGATTTGTAAGAGCTACCATTACATCCTCTGACATATGTACCATTTCAGCCAGGGCACTAATAAATACTAGTTCCTGTCTGCAAATAAACTCAAGGTAGTCAACGTTCAGTGGCTGTCTATCCAAGACATGAACTAAACGATCATGAAGTCGCTGAAGAATATACTGCTTTAGATATTCCTAATTATAAGAAGAGAAAGATGCATTTCAATGTACAGACAATATATTTACACGTTAAACAACGTTTCTAAATATCTGATACTGTTTATCTTGATCGAACTACATTGCTTCAACGTAGTGGTTAACAGTAACTAGGCTGCATGTTTTGAAATGTATTACTGTAAAAGCAAGTACACACTGACCTAACAGACATCAATTTATAAAACAAGGTTATTTAGAATTATAATTTCACAACACTCAAAATGTTACTTTTGTCTTTATAGGTCTTTCTTTTTACTACCCTGATTGCAGTTTAATTTATAATTACTGTAACTGTCCTGTTACCACTGTATATATATTTTTTTAACTTTTAACTTAAGTTAACTATTAAAACTGTCTAGATTGAATGTGTAAACGATAAAATGTGTAAACTCAGACTTTTATGAAATAAAATAAACTCTTACCCGTGCTTCCCGTTCTTCGTTCGCCATGGTGGAATACTGATGTAAAGGTTTAATTTCCGTTCTAACTAATCCAAATTGCGCAAAAGGTGCGCAGAATCGTGCTCCTTGAATGCACTCTCAGTGGCTTATGGCATATGATTGGTTGAATGGTAAGCTCGCATCTGATTGGCTAAAGAGTACGACAGACCCACGTGGGAAGAGAGCTCTGCCAGGAAAGTCTCAAAAACACACACACACAAATCGGAGGGGATTCGTACGTAAAGGACGATTTGTACATTCAGACACTCGTACATTTTAAACATTCAAAGGTTTTTGTGCACAGTTGTATATCTACGAATTGTGTTTTGCATTTGTGAAATGTATTTTATGAATATATAATTTTATTTTGCGCATGTGAATTGCTTTTTGTGAATATATTTTTTTTTCACGCACGTGAATTTTTTTTGTGTGTACGTGAATTAGGTTTCATGCATGTGAAATTGTCTACGCATGTGTGAATCGTGTTTCTTGCGTGAATTATAAAAGAGACTATTCTGCTTCCATAGAAGGCGCCCACGGGTGATCAGGTGGAACTAGGCAATATTGTATCTTTCTCCTTATTTAGACAAATGCCATTTTAACAAAGTTTGATTTGATTAATAACCTTGTTGGCTTGCAACTCAGCCTTTCAAAAACAGGCCTTCAATGTGCACAACGCTGATTTTCCTATTTTCACAGGTATAAAACTATATAGCTCATGCCATACTTTTTTTGTATTTATAATGCAATTGCAAAAGCATGAAAAAGAGCAATCAACGTGATCGATATTTCCCCAAATCTAGCAGGAGAGGGCGCTGTCGACTGCAGAGTGAACCTATAGGTCAAATCTGTAAATGAGATTGGTGACTACATAAGTTGACATGTTAGATCGTGTTGATTTCCTGCCGACTAAATTTCCACGTCAGAAATATCAGATATATAAGATCCAACCCCGGACGCCAAATTCCTGCCAAAAGAAGATACAAGCCTTCAATAATCCTGAAAGTTTGACTGAGAAAGCCAGGGAAGAGCAGAAGCAGGAGACGACGTGATGAAAGTAATAAGAGCAGAGTTTATCGAATAATCTTATTGCGTATAGGTTTCAATGCTCAGACTTCGTCTAAATGTCCCAATGCTCATGCTCAGACGAAGTCTGACCAGTACAAAACCAACAAGTGTTATTAGGCCTATAAAACAGCAAAACAATGGAATATTACTGCTTCATTACTGAATATTCACAACATCGTCCTGTGAAATGGAGACATTCCCTTATCTCTAACTCATAAGACAAACATCCCATGAAAACACACGATTAAACAACAAGAATTATAAAATATAAAAACATAAAATAACATAATGAATAATAAAATGATGAATAAATTATTACATGATAAATCAAATGACAACTATAAATGACTAATGATTATAAAATTAAATCCTATAAAAAAAAATAAGAAAATACAACACAGATAGGCCTATGGTTGCTCTCAGACACATTGCTAATTGAGAAGCCTTAGATCCTTCACATACTTTCCTTTCAAAGCAGAAAAATGATCACACGAAGAAGTTAATTAGAAATGCAACATTCAATTTCACATATGAAATGTTGTTTGTATAGCCTATGTTTGTTTGTTTAAGATAAATGATATATGTCTTAGATATTATCCTATTGTTTATGATAATTTCATGTGTTCTTTTCTATTCCTACCCTCAATCTTTTCTATTTCAGGAACAATTTATAAAAACGATAAATATTGTGACAGTCTGGGTGATCATCATCATTATTAAAAGCTTGTTAGCAGATTATTACCTTTCTAATTTATCTAATTATGTGCTTACCAGTTACCACTGAAAATTAGACTGTTATATAGACTGTGTATATTCTCCTATAAGGGCTATTAGGCCTACATTTTTTTTTTACTTTAAAAAATTGTTACACTAGAACTACTTTTCCTTAAAAGGGAACTGGAAACCATGAGATTAATCAAGATATATTATATGTTAATATATATTATGTTAATGTATATTTTTATAGTTTCAACAAAGCAAAATCAAGTCCCTCAAGAACCCCTTGAACTATATTATTAAACCCAAATGTGTAATAGTACTTCACTAAAACACTTATACTGTATTATTTTGGGAATCTGTACTTTACTTGAGTTCTGTTCAAACTACTTTTCCCTATTACATTTACCATTACAGTTTCACTAAAAGTGTAAAGTAGGCCTTATCACATCATTTCACAATTATAAAAAAAATTAAAAAAAATGTCTTGATCCAACTATAAAGCCAATCAATCATGCTTACATAAGTTTATGTTTCCTTTTATTTAAACAGCTAATGGAATTTATTTTAGTTTAAATACTGAGAAAGCTTTCTTTTTTTTCTTTCTTTTTTTTAAAGAGTAATTGACCAAAAAATAAATAGGCTATGTCCTCATTTTCCCATTGCCTTTGACATTCCAAACCTGCATGACTTTCTTCAGTGGGTCACAAAAGTATAAGTTTTGAAGAATGTTCACAACCAACCACCATGAAAGTGGAAAACAAGGGCTTTCAAGTTCCAAAAATGACACACACACAAAAATCATAGCATGAATCATGAATCAGCAAAACAACATCAACAAAAGAATAAAAAGTAGTCCATATAAGTCATGTACTGTATTTTAAGTTTTCTGAAATCAAATGCGTCTTTAGCTTGACAAATGGTCTCCATTCACTTTTGCTAAACACTTATACACAACATTCTCATAAATAACTCCTATAACAAGTCATTCAGCCTTCAAAAGACTATGAGGATGAGGAAATGATGACAGAATGTTATTTTTTGGGGGGTGAACTATCCCTTTCAGTTTCAGACACAGACTTTCAACTTGCAATGTGCTTTTTATAATAACAATCATGAACTTGAGTTAAGTGTAAACAGGGTTCAATCTCGATTATTAGTTTTAAAATCATTGTATTCAAATCTCAAACCAGTGTAAAATTATCTGCTACTAATGTAAGCTGAAAATATTCGCATATTGTGTTCAGTTTAACATCCGCTGTCGCTGTGTCCAAAAGTCACATGGCCAGAACAATGTAAAAAAAGTTATCTTTACAATTTATTTGCATCAAAAAATGCAAAAATGAGAAATCTCTACTTGTTTTCAAGTCAAATTAAAAAGAAAAATGTGTTTACTTTAAATTATTGAAGTAGGGCCTACAATTAAAAATGGATACTTTTTTGCTTTCACTCAAGTATTTTTTAAGTGAGTACATTTTTTGGCATAGTATCTGTACTGTACCTTAGTTAGGCTACAATTTCTCAATATTTTTTATAGCCCTACCCCTGAACGAACCACATCATATATAGTCCCTTTGCAAAAAAAAGTACGAGTAAAGAAAAACAGCGTGTGTGGCTTTAAGAGAGAGGTGGGCGTGGCTTCAGGCGCAGTGACCTCAGCGAGGTAGAGTTTCTATTCAGTTGCGTTACCAAAACACCTGTAAGCGCTCAATAGGGAGCTATCGATTACGTTAGTTTGCGGAAGCATTTTTAAATTGTTTTAAAACCCAGTTTGTGCTTTGAATTGTACTAAGAAAAGTAGCGGCAGGGTTGGTTTGCCGAATATGGGGCCTCTTGCGAGTCGGGATGTGTTTTCGTGGCTACTGGTGGCCTCGGTTCTCCAGGTGTCGAGTGTGCGCTTGGCGCAGGCCAGTTACCTGTGCACTGCATACCTGAACATTTCCTACACCCATCCTGAAACGAACCGAACCACCTGGTATCAAGAGGAAATGGGACTCTATGGGCAAGACTCACCCAAAGCTTCTGTCGTGGGGAATGTGTATTTAGCCGATCCGATCTATGGCTGTGAGGAGGACACCGTTTATAGCCGACCGAACGATTCCAGGGGCTGGATCGCCTTAATCCAACGCGGAAGCGGTTGCACTTTCAGCGATAAAATTAACGTCGCAGCTATGAACGGAGCTGCCGCTGCTATCATTTTCAACGACTTCGGGGCAGAAAATCGGGTCATTCAGATGTCTCACCCTGGTATGTGACTCAACGGGCTTAGGACCACAGATGGGCTGCTGAACTTTTTTAGACGGTCCTGTACAGCAGGTTTTAGTTTGTGTATGCAAGTGTTCCCATGTCTATTTATTCTGATCAATTCTGGTCTCTATTGGGTGCCAGTTGTACTCTAACCCGGGAGTTGTGTTGTGTAAGTTGTGTAAACTTGACGGTTGATACAGAGATCATGTCCGTATAGGACCTCCTCAACGCGAAAGAGCGCACGCTCTGCTCTCACCTGTCCAGGATATAAAAAATAAACTGGACTAGATCCGCAATTTACATCTGTTTTTTTAAAGCACAAACCCACTCACTGATCATCAGGAGAAATTCACTGCGAATGACGACTCACTTTTTAGATGACCTAACGTTACGTGTTTTATGACATTATGTCATGCCATAAAAAGTAAGGGTGCGTGCATACGTAGCCTACATTTATTTGTGGTATCATTTTAGTATCATGAAGATACTATTGTAGTTGTTGTTTTGTCGTGTTTTTAAAGATATGTAGGGGCCTACATGTGTTCTAAAATAATTAAAACAAAAATGATCAACATCACATTAAATAAAAAGGAAATGTTGCCTTATATATAGGTTTTAGTTAATCAGTTAACGTTTTTTTCAAGTAACAAACTGCAGGTGTGAACTGTCATCACTGTGTGATTTCTGACGCCCACAGGACCGGATCTGGATCCTGGTAGATGGCTTTTTTGCGAACAAGTAATGTTTCAATTTTTTGGAGTCATGAGAATTCTGACCTCACATCTCTCGCGAAACAAACTCTTGTTTTGACCACTTTTTTGATACAAGTGTGTTAAGATGCATAATTTCCTCTCCCTTGATGTAAAAACGCAATTTATTTGGTTTCGTGTTGGTAAACACCGCTAATGTTGCATGTTTGGTGACGATTCGGCTCTTTCCGTCAGGTTGTTAAGCGCAACGGTTTGTGTTTTGTTTTGCGCATGCGTATTGCTGGTGTTTTCAGTGTCGTCTCTTTTGTGTGTGTTTCTAGGCACGAGCATCGTTGCAGTAATGATTGGCAACTACCGTGGGATGGAACTGGTCCAGCTGCGAGTCAAGGGCGTGCCCGTTTCCATAGCGATAGAGGTCGGGAAGCAGCACGGTCCTTGGATGAGTCACTATTCAGTGTTTTTCGTCTCCATCTCCTTCTTCATCGTCACCGCGGCGACTGTTGGATACTTCATCTTTTACTCCGCGCGGAGACTGACAGGCCTCAGACAGCAGAACCGCAAACAGGTAACGTTACAGCACAAGATTTGCGTGGATGGCTGCTGATTTGATGAGCAGTGAACGTCAACCCTGCTAATATACTGCGTTAATCCTACGTTTCGCCCAAAAACACTTTTACGGAGTAAATAAAACTGGATTAAAGTACATCTTTATAAGACACAGATAATACCTCGAAATGAATAAATAATAATAAATGGTAAACAAACACTATTCGAAGGAGATCCTATTATATATTTTGCACTCTTAACTCGGGTTTGAGCCTCCTCCAAGGACAGCAAGCCAAGTTAGTTTACTATTAACGGGCAGGCGGACAGGTGAAATAAAAGTTTTTCACTTTAAGATAATTTCATTGGCTTTGTACACACTGCACAGTTTGGTAACCAAAGAGTGATAACCTTATTTAAATCCCAAGTGAACCTCTTTAAATGCGAAAGGCAAACTACACTGGAACTGAAAAAATGGCTTGAATTTTATTTGCTTTCGTTTCATATCATTAAATACTGCGTTTAGTCAGCCTCAAATTTCTTGGCATTTTTGACAAGAAAAGTCAAGGAGTCTATATAATGTGGGGTTAAAGTAGCTCACAGAGACATTGATGATATACGCTTTATAAGTCAAAGCTTTTAGAGTCAGTCTTTCCACCAGAGCTGCTTCCAACCATTTTGTGGTCTGTGGCTAATTCAAATTTGACCAACCATGTACTTGAACCTCGAATCTCGATTGAGCTTGTTTATTAAATAAAGATGAAAAACCGCACTCTCTAGTTATATCTCATATATTTATTTATATATTTATCCACACTTGTTTATTAAATAATATCATGCCAATTGTGATAATACTTTCCTGTTTATCAAAAATGCCATCTTTGATATTTCCATTTGTCACTGTCATTATCATTACAGGTGTTATTCACAGCAATAACAGTAATAGAAAGCCATTGACTTTGGTTACTCATTTATAGATGATTATAGAGATGATAGTTGGTCTGCCCGGTAAGTGGTTGTATAAGACTATTTATTTGAGAATGTTACTGAATATAGATGTCAAATCCAAAGTACTGACTGTGTGATCCAGTTATGATTCTATGAGACAACATTTGTTCTGGACATCACCAAATGTGTAGTTTCGCACTGTGCACTTCATGCTTGCTTGTTAATTATTCTCGTGTAACTATCTTTTTTTACTGGTTGGTCTGGTTTCACAATACTGGGTTCTGAGATCATCATCCTTTTTTCAACTTTAATGTCATCACTGTATGTGTATGAGTTTGGTTCAAAAATGGCATTAGGACTAACTTTAGTATCAAGGGAATGTTTGATCTTGGATAAAGTTTAACTAAAATCACAACCCATCAGGGACTATTACACACTCACACACAGACGGACGGAATGTTTTCAGTTTGCTACTGTTGAAATGACACTGGGAATTTTTTCTAAAAAATCTTGTTTGCAGAGGGGAATGCCGCAAATTTAAGCTTACTAAAGCTAAAAGGCATTACTGTGCTCCAAAAGTACCTTTTCCAGTTGTTTATTTTGCTTGAGGTAAAACGGGAAGAAAAAGTAAAAGTAAATTGTAAAGTAAAAGTCTTTGTTGAACTTTAGCAGGCCAAGATCCCATTCTAACCTGTTGAGCTTTGCTACCCATATCTCGGCAACGGCCTGAGTATACAGGTTTATGCTTTATAACTTCAGGAAAATCAGACCCTTTCTGTCTGAGTATGCTGTTCATTTTCTTGTCCTTGCCAAAACACATTTCATACTACAGGACTTGGATCGCAGATATTTATCCTGCTAAATACAGTAGCCTATCTCTTGGCCATTGGTGATGCATCAGCGCTTCTCTCAGATCACATTTTTAATCATTCAAACATAGCGATCGTCACTTACGTGCATGAACAGCACAGATTTTATGCTTCTGTCGACAATCTCTATTAACATGTAGTGTGTGGGCAGCATAAGCTTCTGCAGATGATCTAGATTCTAGAACAAACCAGTCAACCAGAGGGGGGGGGGGGGGGGGGGGGTTGACTTTGTTTGGGTTTGTGTGAGCAATAAAAATTACTTCCTTCTTCATACTGACTTAGAATTCACACACTGTCACAATGGGTCTTATTCATGGAATTTAAAAATGTCAGATACATATTCACTCTGACTCATTTGTCTTCAAATAACACAGGGTTGAGATCAGGTCAATGAAAAATCAGAAAGAGCTCCAAGAAACCCATTTTTCTTTAGAGGCTTGTAAGGTGTTCAAAAAGGGTGGACTGATTTACTTTTTGCTGCTGGAGAACACTCAGTTGTAAATAATTGCTGTTTAAAAAAAAGTTAACAGACATCAAATCATTGCTGAGACTGTTGAATAGACAGATAGTCTGTTGACATAGTTTGTTTTCATTTTTTATTGTGTCTCTATTATCTGTTTGCCATTAGTATGTTCATTTCCTCAATAGGAAATTTATGTGGTCTTGCATGAATATACATTTATACTTTTTGGTATAACTTTAGTCAATAGTGTTATATTAATTATATATTTTCAATCACAAATGTTTCATCATTGGTAATAATAAAAATCAGTGGCAATAAATTACTCTAAAGCAGCCCCTGAGTAAACTTTGCTTTTGCATTCTAACTCTGAGTGGGCTGGACTGGCAATCGGGCATACCGGGCATTTGCCCGGTGGGCCGAAGTGCTTTGTGGGCCGATACATCTCATACTTTTTTTTTTTTTTTTTTAACGGCCCATAAAACTCGTATATCGGCGGCCCATTGCGTTTAGTTTTGTTTAATTGGCGGCTCTGGGATCTTTGTGCCGGTGTAATGCATTGGACAAAAAAAGTCAGCGTAGGTTTTTCTTTTTCTCACAGACCGGCGCATGATGAAACGCGTAGATCAGCAGCTCATTGGTTATTTTCTTGATTGACACTGGGGTGGTCCAATCACATCTTTAAACTCCTCCCCCTTTGAGATCTGAGTGAGCGTGCAGTGTCAGCTGTGTATCTGTCAAAATAGTCAGAGCGATGGAGAACAAACGCAAGGAATGTGCAGAGAAATAGCGTGAAAAAAGAAACTTCACAGGCCCATCAAGTGTCTGATGAGGAGGATAGTGAGGAGGATAAGGAGAGAGATGAGTGAGTGCAGAGAACTGTGGTAAGCAGAACTAGGCTACTGTCACAACAACACGTATGGTGTGTTCACACACCGAACCCGAATAGAGCGTCAAATACGCGTCTATCGCGTTTAGTTAGACGCTTGAACATTCGCTCGAGTTCAAATTTTTCAACTTGCGCGGAAGACATTCGCGGCAAACGCGTCGCCCAATTCGCGTCATTCGCAACGCCCGGCGCGAATGCGTCTATTCGCGTCTTTGCATTGACTTTGTATGTAATACTCGCCCAAATAATTAAATTCGCGTTCGGTGTGAACACACAATTAGGCTATGTAGGAACCCACTACCCAGTTACGCATTATTTACACATCTGCATATTTGACGATTACTCATTTTATTAGAATTGTAATGAGACAATAATGAGTAATGAGTTTGTAAACCATATTTTTCTTCAAAATAAAAGCTCGATGCCGTTTCCGTCAAAATAAAAGATCATGTGCTTATCTCTGTATAGAAATTAGTACGAAACTAATTATGAAAGTGTCTTTTATTTTTCAGTGCATTTGTTTTACAACATATGGCTATTACTGCCATGGGATTAATATTATAACTATTATTATGTAGTAGTGTAATGTAGACAGACACTATATCACAACTAAAAGAGTTTTGAGTTTTTCTTTGTTCAATTTGCACACTGAATATGGGTTGGAGCTCTTTATTTTTAACTCTCAAAGTGCACCAGATTGATGAATTTAACATTAAAAAGCACAAAATTTTCTTACGGGGGAGCATGCCCCCGAACCCCCCTAGAGGGACAGAGGTGCACTCACCACAGATTTCACAAAAACCTGTGGGAAAAAAACGGTATTGCTATCCCAGCTTATAGCTTTCTTTAGGATTCATCACTGTGTGGAGTATTGTTCAACTTAGTAGTTATTTTCATCGGTTAACTCTTACTCACTCCTATTCACTTATGGCATTAGTGGTTTTAATAGGAGGTGGTATACATATTCAAGGGCGTGCAAAGTTCGGTTGTGTTATATAGTGGGCCAGTCTGGGCCAAAATGCCCGGGCCGATTTTTTGTCCCAGTCCAGCCCTGACTCTGACTAATAACTGTTGCACTGTTTTAGATTTGAAACATTGTTTTATGAATAGTTTTTTTTTTCATAAAAATGTTGACTGCAGGGTAAAGGCCTGTTCACACCGGGACGAATTTCGCGCGCGTTATTCGCCGACGTTTAACGCCTCGTGACTAAACAAAGGGCGCCAATGTGAGTGTTCACACCAACGCGTAAAACGCCACGCGTAAAAGCGTCATTTTTTTAAAAACGCCTCGGGTTCGTTTTTTTGGTTTGACGCGCCGCGTCAAAAACTATCCGACCAATGAGATTGGCGCTTTTGCTCACGTGTCTGGAGCTTCTGAAGTTACAGTAAAACACAACTTGGGGGCGCTCAAACACAAAACGGTCTTGCCGAGCACACATACGTAATGGCGAAGAAGATATACAGCGTCTACACTCTGCCGGGAAGAAATAAGACGAGGAAGATGTAAGGCTAGATGAGTAGAGCTGCTGGTCTTGTTGGTGTCTTTATAAAGAGACACCAACGACAATAAAGAACCATATAACAAACGCGACAAACTTGCTCTCTTCTTCTGAGTGACAAGCGAGTGTCAGAAGCGTAGTTGCGCAGCGCCACTTTGTGGACCGGGGTATTTCTGTTTTACATTAAGCGCCATCTAATGTCAGGGAATGAATTTGCGTGTTCACTCGGCTCATCGTCAGCGAAAATCGCTTGGGTGTGAACACAAAAAACGCGTTGAAAAACGCTGACGAATAACGCGAGCCGATATTCGTCCCGGTGTGTACAGGCCTTAAGGATTGTGAATTTTCAACTCACTATTTATTTTTATTAATTTATTCATTCCATATTTACATGTAAGACTATATTTATTGTAAGACATGCACATTAATGGTATTTTTTTTTTTTTCTGTTCCTCCAGATAAATTCAAACGTCTATATTCACATATCTCTTAAGCTACAGCATATAGTCAAATGTGATGTCAGCCAAAATGGTGGCCGGTAGATTAAAAACATTACTTGTCACTGTGCTGAAAAATACCTGCATTTAATTGGTGTAAATGAGCTGCGCTAGAGTTTAACATGTAATAGTACATTTGTCGATTCCTTTTCAATCTGGTAGAGGATTCATATTACTATGAACACAATTCACACAGCACACATTTCACTGTCTCACAGTAGAAAACCAACACACAGGGTTGAGAAAGGTCATTGTTGTTTAGTCAATGAACACAAACTCCAGAGTTTCATGCCAGCATCTCTAGGGTGAATTATTCTGCAGGCATGTCAATGTCTGTTATATTAACTATTCCCTAAATTTGTGTGGTTGTATACAACTTAATAATATGTATCTAGAATAATGCAATTGAAATTACAGAAATGAGAGTTGGACTTAACTAAAAAATATGTTGGTATTCTCACAAAAGAAAAAGTTGGCACACCACAGCTCCATAATAGAAATATTACATGTTCTCACCAAAGTGATGAGAACATGCGATAAATAATTTTTCTATTTATAAAGCTGGTGTGCCAACTTTTTCCTTTATCTGTCTGGGATGTGAAAGTGTGTTTAGCTAGAGGTTATTTTTTGGTTATCTAATGCATTGCCATTCATACATTTTTAAGTCTGTCTCAAGTGTCCACATTCTTGTTGCGGCCACTAGGTATGAATCAGCAGAGTAAATGAGTCCGCAGTAGTTCTCTCGCTGAAGGTTGAGGGTTTTTTTTTATGCGAAATGTAATGTTTCATTTATATATTTACTTAATAATCCTAATCTGAAATTCCTTTGTTGTAGGTGTTTGTGTAGCAGAGTAAACAAATTTGAGAACACTGTGTTGATACTCGGGTTACAGTTTAACGATATTCATACACTTCCTGAAAAACCAGTAAGACCAGACCAAAAACACCGAAACACACACACGCATTTCAAGCTCTGTTTGTCTGTTCTTTTTCAGAAAAAGCTGAAAGCTGAAGCAAAAAAGGCGATTGGCCAGCTGCAGGTCCGCACACTGAGACAAGGGGATCAGGTACATTTGAGCACCATACATGCTTCTATTTGTATTTATGCGTTTTCTTTCTTTATTTATTGCCTTTGTATTTTGTGCGTGCACATGTATGCATGTAGAGTTTATTTTTTTAAAACATTTTAGGTCTGTATTTGGTTTATATTCGTACATGTAAGCATGGGCGTCGGAACCCACCCACCCACTAGGTGAAGCAGAGTTTAGTTTACTTAGTTTATTTAAAAGAAACCAGAATACATGAAATGGCATTTACTCCAGTAAAAAATTTCTGGGGGAGGACCCACCCACTTTTTTTTTTTTTTTTTGCTTCCGACGCCCGTGCATGTAAGTGCTTGTGGGTTTATCCTTTTTTTCATGTTGTGGATGGTACATTTTTTGGCAACGTGTAACAGGAGTGTAAATGTTACTGCACTTTTGGACACTTAGGGCTATTTCACACTGTGCTTAACCCTGGGTGATTGACGTTCTAACCCCAGCTTTTAACCCCGGATAAAGGAATGTTTCACACTCGTAATCTAGAAGTGGGGTTAGCAAATGCTTAGCAACAGACAACCAATTGCGTGCCTTATATTCACAGGCTTTGAACAGTCATGGAAACACTGAGTGTTGAATAAACAGACGTTTCAGCGTGATAGAAGAAGAAGTGAAGAAGACACCTTTTCATTCTTACCTTTTACAGTTCAAAAAGTCTGTTCTGGATAAACTTGATAGTACAGTCGGCAATATATAATATAAAGATGTTTTACATTATGTAAAACATATCGGGTGTTGTGTTTGTCCATTTGCAAATATGCAAATAAGGACGTTAACCTGGGGTTCAGGAATGTCTGGTGTGAAACGTCATCTTATGAATAGATTAGTTGGTAACCCCAGGTAAAGTCTGACCCATGTGAAACGTGATGCAAAATAACCCAGGATTCCATTTACCTGGAGATTCCAATGACCCAGGGTTAACTAGTTCAAGTGTGAAAAGTCCTTTTGTAAATTGAGTCAAAAGCCAAAATAAAGCATAAAATATAGCATAAAAACAATTTTACACTATTGTACAGTGATAATTTGCATGAAAAAGACAAATGATTCAATGTATTATCAATAGGTTAACTTATTAATTGCAGATATACGAACTGGATGACCCATCCGTGTGAATGATGTTTTGATGATTTGTGCATGTGTGTTTATCTATGTTTCACAGGAGACTGGCCCGGATGCTGATACCTGTGCAGTTTGTATTGAGTTGTATAAAGCAGGAGATGTACTGTCAGTTCTCACATGCAAGTATGTCTCTCTGTCTTTCACTCCATTCCATCTCCGTCAATCACTGATGTTTATTACTTTTTTCCTGTCCTTTCAGTTCTAATGTGTGCACAATGTGTTTGTGTGTGTTTTGCAGTCATTTCTTCCATAGATCTTGCATAGAGCCGTGGCTGCTAGAGCACAGAACCTGCCCAATGTGCAAATGTGACATTCTTAAAGCCCTTGGAGTTGAGGTGAGTTTTCACACTAGGACTGTTTGTCGCCCCAGACATATTCAAAAGACGAGCATTAGACGATATAAAGCTCTGAGGTGCTAGCAAATATCAAATGTTTTTTTTCACACCCCCTCCATCTTTATCTAAAACACGGAATCACAAGTTGAAATAGTTTCAAAAGGACATTTATGAATTAATTTACTTTTTTCAACCGATCTTATCAAATTTAATATTTTTTCTTTCAACCTACCTTCTTTCAAAGAGGCACCTCAGTAGGTAGGATGTTGCGTAAACAACGTGCCTTGATGCTTTTCGGATGCTGCCTGATAGGACATACTTTTTCAGGTTACAGACAGTCTTATTGTTAACACAATAAAACAAAGAAGATAAAAGCTGAACAAAAGCAAACAAACCAGAACTCTATTTCCTCTCAGTTCAGTTTAAAGCGCTACCATGACAATACAAATGTCCTGTTGTTTATCATGCTGAAGTGTTAGCAACTTAGCTGCAGATGGAAAACATAACATTACTAAGCATTATTTAAAAAGGAAAAGAAGACGACAATGCCAAATTCTTTCTG